ACATTTACTACCCCTCCTAATACTGTTTATTTACCACAACATGACTGATGCATATTCATTGCTGTTTTGACTTTTATGCACATTGTTTTTGACATAAAGAAGAATACTGGACAGATTAAGAGATCATTTAACTTCTAACAGTTTCTCCCAGTTTCTCTTAAATCAATGGAGTATATTGTAACTATGTTTAAGATTTACAAATCTAATATGAGATAATACGGCTTTTTCTGCTAATTAAGATATCCTTATCCTGCCTGGCCTTAATTTTCAGACTGTAATCTGCATACTGATATGAAAACACTCAAATCAGGAACAAAATTTATATTTGATTAGATTTTCAATGTATCATCATAAATTGATCAAGTTCATACAAAGTTTGAGTCTGAGGACGTTTCTTCTTCATGCTGCACAAAATAAATGGCAAAATGGCTTATTTTTTAATAGCAGTGATTAATCAATCAACATTAACATATTGATCTTCATATTTTACACACATTGTGTACATGTATGCCAGTTGTACCAGTACAATAATGCTGGCACAACTGACTGTTGCGCCAAAATATGGGTTCTTTGGAAGATGGGGAAAACCAGCATGCTGCTTGGCACAATGTAAAGGAGTGGAGCTATCAAGAATATTGGCAGAAAGTTAAAGAAAGCAGCTCTGTTATAATTTTACTCTGATACTGCTAGAGAAATTGCCATGTTCTTCTTATCCAAAAGAGAGAGTGGCTTTATTTCTTGGAAAGCACACATCTCTAACTTTCATTTCTGTTGGATTGATTTGTTCATTTATTTATTGAATTTATTTTATGTGTAACATCTCTCTCTCTCTCTTTATTAACCTTTATTAACAAAATTACTTCTTTGAACATTGCTATTTTCTTTGTAGAGCCCCTAATGAATCTAATTTAGAATTGTTTGTTTCTCATCTTTTTCACGAATAACATCTTACAAAAAGCACCACTTTATATATTTTACCTTTAGTGGTTATTGAGTTAGATAAGGTAATCACTGCCCACATTAATTCCTTCATTCCCCCTTCATCCCCTCCTGTGTACTTACACTTCCTTCTTGTCCTTCTTGCTGCAGGGCAGCTTGCTCTTCTTATTCAGGAAGTAGATAAGGGCCACCAGCAGCAGGAGCAGCAGAACACATACCACCACGGCTATCACCACCCCGCTGGAGCCTCCCTGCTGCTTGTCAGCTACAGCGCCGCAATGGAGGGACACATGGAAGGAGGAATGGAGGGATGGATAGTGGGGTGGAGGGTAGGTGGGATCGAGGTGGGTGGAAGCGTGGAGGGCGGGAGGGCGAAGGATTGATCACAGTGGAGGAGGTGGGAGGAAGGTGGAGGGAATGGGGAGTTTTTGATTTGGTGGTGGTAGGGAGAGGGGCATCATGAGGGGTGTAAGGAGATGGAGGTGTTTGATTCGTGGAGTAGGAGAGAGGGAGGTAAGGGGAGAAAAATAATTTAATTTGGGGAGGGGAGAAGAAAAGATGGGATAGGGAGGGGAGGATGGAGAGAATAGGGATGGGTGGGGTCCAGATGCAGACAACAGATGGATTGATGGGTGGGTGGAGAGGAGAAGGAGTGGGGGGTGGGTTGTGGGGTTAGCCCAACTTTTGAATGCAATGACTGAAAAGTAATGGGACCCAACAATGGGGCCTGTATCCTCATAGGTAATACTAGACAGCTGACCAGAGCCAGAAAACAACATTAAACATACTCACCCATCCACTAACACTTGTATTACTATACTTGTGAGGACATGACAGCAAATTAAAAATACTTATTCCCGATTGGCTAGTTCAACATTTTGGAAAATTCCCATGTCTGCTTTCTTGCCAAGAGTTAGATGAGAAGATCAATATCACTCTTATATATTTCCATTAAATATACAGCTGTAGATGGGTAGTTTAGCTTAGCATAAAGACTATAAATGACGAAACAGCTAGCCTGGCTTTGTCCAAAGGAAAATAAAATTGTCTACCAGCACCTCAAAAGCTAAGACTTTATCTGTAGTTTGTTCAATGGTTTTACAGGGGATTATGTGATGGACTATTTCTTGGCAGGGCGCAGTGACTTCCTGGAGTCTACACTAGTTGCCTGGCAACCTCACAATTATGACACGACTCTTCGTTCTGGTAAACCATTAAAAATCATATAATTGATGATAACCATAGTAACAATACTGTGTAACAGTACAGTAACAGTGCTTTTCTCATGTGTAACACCTCAACATTTCTCTCTTTAAACTGTGATATGTGGCTGTTGGCATGCCATGTCCTGATATAATACAAAATAAAGAATAGGTGGAACATCTTGCCTCCACCTTGTCCTTTATTTTCTTATATCAGGACACCAAACATTTGCACCAAAATGTTTCTTTTGTCTTTGAATCCAAGTCGGCCATTGTGGGAACTTCAGAAATAACTAAATTATTTTAGTTTTAGAAAATCAATAGGGCAGGATGATCCATCAATTAAATGAGAAAATAATCAGCTGATTAATCGAAAACAAGTTTTGACAGACATCGAGATTCCAAAAACGAATATAAAATATACGTTACTTTTTTCCTCCAAAAGTTCTAATTTAAAGTATGTCCTCTCAACTACAATAATACAAGTACGGATACACAAACACATTAGCTCTTGTTAACACAAATACATTAAAGGGCTAGTTTGGGTTTCTTGAAGTGGGGTTGTATGAAGTACTTACCCATAGGTTATTACCCGCAGAAGACAATTTGGAGAGGCAAAAGTAAAGTGGTAAAAATGTTCTTAATATAGCATGCACTTAAAATGATGTTGACTTTATTAAGGTGGAAGTTTTTTATGTGATTACAATTTTTCTTCTGACCCTGTATTCAGCAGTGCATTGCTCTACTTCCCTGCTGGGACTCCTTTCTGCTTCATCAAATTGGGGGAATGCTGACCACTGTCTTACTGTAGGTAATACACTGAGTATGGATACGTACTCTATACAACCCAAACTATTCCTTTAGCCTGTGTGTGCACACAGACATCAATACACACACACAGTGACTTACAGTTCTAGACGAACGCCATACACATGTCAAGAGGGTTAGCGATACAGACCTGACTTAAGCACAGGGTTTCCAGAAAGCAGCACTTTGAGAGAAAGAGAGTTTCTCAGTCTCATAGCATAGCAAGCCAACAACCACAACACAGACACCACTCACACAAAAACTAAGGTTAAAAAATCCTACACACAGCACCCCGGCGAGTAGAAACGACGAAAAGGAAAAGCGAGAAACAAGAGGGCAGTCGGAAAGAAGAGGAGACCACAAAGGAGACACAGTGAAGAAACAAAGTGTTGAAAGGAAGGAATAGAATAGAATAGAATCCTTTATTGTCCCCAAGGGGCCACAAAAAAGTTGTAGTAGCATCCACAAAATATAGGACAGACATCATACAAAGGTGACAAGAGAAGAAGAATAACAATATACAATATCCACAGTGTTCGGTAGCAAGAGGGCAAATATACAAGATTACAGTACAGCGGAGGGAGTTATGTGTGTATGTGTGTGTGTATTTGTGTGTATGTGATGGAGGGGCTGGGGAAAAAAGAGGTGGGTGGAGGGGGGATTTCGAAATTACAGGGTCTGTACAATAAAGAGTCCTGAGAGAAGTAGGGAGGAGAGGAGGAGAAGGGAGAAGGCTCTACCTCTGTCGGCTGAGTTGTCAATTGCTGCAAGAAAGGAGAAAAAAGTAGAAGAAGAAGAAAGAAGAAAGGGTTTAGTTTGCAGGTTGTGGAGCTGTTAAAGGAGCAAAAGAAACCTGGATTCAGCTGCACCCGGAATTTGTAAATCTATTGTGCACAGATTGTGCATAAAGTCCCTCTTAAATTCATAGCAGCTAATTAGCTAGTTTCAAACTAATGATACACCAAATCAGATTATACCATTAAAACTTAAAGAGCCAGTGTGTAACACACTGGCCCTTTAAGTTTTAATGGTATCCCTATGTAGATAAAAACAGCCTAAGGTAACAAAAACACAGCGATTCTTATTTTCAGGTGATAATTGACTAATGAAAACATAGTTACAAATATTATATTCCATTTCTTTTATTAGATCCTCCTAAATGTTAATGAGACGTCTTAGCTACTAATGACTTTAGCAACTGTAATGTGTTATTGGACGCTCTTTAGCGTCACAAGCCTTAGTTCCAAAACTGAGCTTAAGTAGCCAAACGATATATTTAACTTAACAAGGTATACATACATTTGTTAAATGTGTTTAATTTATATCTGCTTACATAGAGAAATATATGTTAAAAAGTTATTAGCAATTTTGAAAGATTGGAGAAATATCTGATTATGCTAACCTAGATAATATCTGGCATACGTTTTGAGAGTATAATATAAAATCTTCCTAGTTCACATTATTATTAAACAGCATTTTCTCAAGTGACTGGCTTTGTTGACCATCTTCCATATTTCTTTTACTCATAGATTAGCGACATAGCTTTGTCAGTTAGCTCACTTAACTACACAACAGTTTGGCCTACACCTGGCAGTTACTGGGTGTATATATAACTAACAGCTAATCTCCACATACGAACTCGTTTGTGTGGTGCAACCTGTTTTAATTCAGTGATGCTCAAATCTCCACTGGCTAAACATTTTACTTCATTTAATAACTAGGCTGACTTTCAATTTACAAAGAGCTGGTGCAGCTGGCTCAACAGCACAACTCTGTATCATAACTAAACATCAAAAGCCTGCAGTGAAAGAAACATGAAGGGAGATAAAGAAGCATCAGCGCTTCTAACATCTCCTGCCACTGACCTCTTTTGAGAGATACCAAGAAGGCCTTGCTATCTGTTCCGTGCTCATTGGAGACCTCGCAGGTCACCCCGTCCTTCATGACCTCGGCCGTGGCTTGTAGGGTCACGGTGCTCACCACCTTGTTACCTTCAACTGATACAGACTGGCAGGAACGATGGAAGAAGGACAACAGAGAGACAAGACGTGAATTTTTACATATCCCCTCATCGTTTCTTGCCTATATTTTAAATTTGTGGCACATTTTCCTCTTAATATATTGCACTGATTCATTCTTTGTCTTAACATGTCTGGTTCCTGTACTTTTGCACACACTATTGATGCTATATTCTATAATTCTTCCCATGATTCTCATTTATAAATCAAGAGCTGCTGCTACAAATGGTCAGTTGTGTAAGTTTAAATATCGCTCATCTTTGATCTTACATACATCACTATTTGCTTCTGAAATGATCCAGTTTTTCAGAAGGTTCATAAAAATTTTATCTAATTTTATCATTTAACTTTATATAATATTTCAATTATGAAGCTGTATTCCACTTGTAAGTTGCTTTAAAGTTGCTTCGTATGGGATTTTCTTTTCAACTATATCACATCAATAAGAAATATTAGAATAAAATATTACTTTCCAAAGCCCCGCAAGCTATTTCTATCCCTCCTTTTTCTATTGCTTTTGAAGTTTAACATATCAGCCTACCAAGAAGAAGATCTTAAGATGTTATGAAAAGTCATGTTTCAGACCCAAATGAAAACGCTAACAGTGATAGCTCTGTTTGTTTAGAATACAGCTTCACCTCTTATTATTCTAGTTGTAGTTCAAGGAAAATAGCCATTACATCTGTTTACTTCCTGATTCCTGTAAATTGCACACTAGGAAAAGAAATAGACCAGGTCACGACATGTCAGCTTATATGGTATTTTTATGTGTGTTATGAGTGTTTTTTTATACAGACCTCTTTTCCTGAGGGCTTCCAGGTGAACTGAGGGGCGGGAGAGCCATAGGCAGAGCACTTCAGAGTCACCATGTCTCCTTCCTTCGCCACCTCTCCAACAGCGGGAGTCTCAATCATCGGCTTTCCTGGAAAAGGAGTAAGAAAGCCAGTGAACAAGGGTTTAGTAAACAAACAACAGCAAAAGCTCAAACACACGTGCACACAGACACATACACACTGTAAATACTTTTAGGCTGGTTCGATTTAATAAGATAAGTTCCCCTGCTGTCTTAAAAATGTGAGTTAACAGAGATTACTGCTATAGGGACAAACATTTATAATGGTTTACGTTGTTTTTATTATTTTGAAAAGCAACAACATGTATAAAAGACACACCAAGTCTCTCTGGAAAGTTTTTAATCTCTATGCATGCTTGGTTGTCTGTTAACATGATGATCACGTTCCTTTATAAACCTAATTTAATTGTAGGACTTCAAGTCAGAAGAACTTGTGTACATTAGAAATTTGAAGTTGAATTAACTTGAAATTAAT